GGGTGCACGCAGTGTCCGGGTTCCTTTTTCTGGAAGGGGTGGGGAGACCCTGGGGAGCGGGGTTGGGGTGGTGATTTTGCGGGAAGTAAGTATTTTTGGGGTTTTTGGCTTTAAAAAAGCGGGGTATGGACGGGGGGGGGGGGGGGGGGGGGGGGGCTGATAGGGATGAGTAGCAAGGTATGGGTTAGCGTGAGGAGGTGACGGTGAACTGTCTAGAGTCATAAAACGCAACAATTGACAAAAACTCAGAATTTCTGCTTAAAAGCTTTACTTTTTACTGAAGAATTTCATGCAAAGAATGGTGACACAAATCAATAGATTTCATCCCCAATTTTTTCACATATAATTAAAAAAAAAAGAAAGAAATAATACTATAATGTAACAGTATCATTAATAATAACATTATGTAAAAGATTTTTACTACTATGAATTATTGATAAAAAGTTTACCAAATTTATTTACTGGAGTTACATGAAAGTAAGGCCTCAATTTTCTGCACACTAAAGTTTTTTTAGTATTTTGTAAGTTGTTCTTACACATTCTATTAAGGCACTTAAAATTGTCAGTATGCATTGTTGCACTGAGTAAATAAATTTTGCTGACATTAAATAACACTTAGATTTAGATTTCTAGAGCTTTTGGCTCATTTTCTCTAAATCTTGCTCTGACCATGGCTTTTCTTTTTGAAACCTAGGACTACTTTTGCATGGTTCACATAAAGATTCCTTTCTTTTTTGTCAAAAGTTACTTTTAGTACTTTTTCAGGGACCATTGTCCATTAGTGAGATCATACTCTGTGCAAAATATGGTCTTCCCAGGACATTTTATGGTATCACTGAATGACATGTTTGGCTCACCATAATGGCCATGGAAACCTAACTCAATGTCTAATATCAAGGGTTTTTCTTCCGAGATAGTGAGCCCTTTTTTAAATTGCATTTCAAGAGGCTCCTTAGAAAGGACTTTTTCATCAATGACTTTCTTGGTTCCTTTAACTTCCTGAGATGCACGCAGTAACACATGCTTGAAGAATGAATATGGGGTATCACACACCAGGTCAAGGCCTTGAATCAAGACTTTCTCTGGGCTTAATTCGATGGCGAAGCGTCGCTGGACTCTGAACGGTGGGACCTCCAAGCCAAGCCTATCCAGAAGACCTTTCATAACAGCATCTATCTGGCTGTGTATTTCAAGGGAGCTATAACGACTCAGAGGTGTTTTCTGTAGATTGCAGATGACCAGCTTCTGTTTGCGACGGACAGCCTCGGCAGGAATGTCAGCAGCGGGATTGACACGAAGGCTGGAACCAAGCACGATGATCAGATCAGACTTCTTTGCTTGCCGATAAGACTCCTCCAGTTCATAACTGGGAAGGCTTTCCCCAAAATTTATGATTGAGTCCACCAGTGGCCCATGACATTTTGGGTTATCACAAAATCGGCCTGTCTTGTGATCATGAACCCACCTGGCAGTGCGTACGTTGAAGTCTCTCAGATACTTAGCTCCGCATGTAGTGCATTTCTCCAAATTTGTATTTCCATGAAGTTCAGCCAGCTCATTACTGGGGATGCCACTGCGTAAATGGAGACCATCCACATTTTGGCTCACAGTAAACTTGACCATGCCCTCCTTATGCATCTCTACTATAGCCATATGGGAAAGTGATGGTATGGCTTTTAGCATGTTAGGAAGAGCTGCTCCTGGCTTACGTGACACACCTTTTGCTTGTAACTCCCAGACACCAGGGCCTGTCTTAAGCACAGTGTTCATGCCACTGCGGAAATCAGGGATCCCAGTGCTTGTACTTATTCCTGCACCAGTGAACATTACACAGTGTTTACTCTCTTTTACCCATTTCGCAAGAAGGTCAATCTTTTTCTCCAGTTCTTCATCAGTGTCAAAGAACTCTTTTTTCTCATCTTCCTCCTCAATGTTTGGGTAGTTTCTTCCGGTAGGAGATGGCTTAGGGACATTGCTACTGGGTTTCACTGAGGAAGGTTTTGCTTGAGCAGAACCTATGCGGAAGAAGTAAGACAGAATGAAGGTTATGTTGTCAAAAGCTGTGTGTGACTCAAATGAAAACGTAGTTTCTTTTTCAGCTGTCTTTGATACACTGTGCACATTGTCAAGGAATAAAAACATAACATGTGTACATGCATACAATTTGTAACATGGAACCGAAGATGAGACAAGAAGTTCTCCACTTGGTTAAATACTTACACATGTAAACATGATGTTGGTACATAAGGGAAACAAAAAGCGAGAGAGAAGGTGGAACAGTGTAAACCATCCTTTTATTTATTTTTTGATTATTATTTGGCTTGTTTTATTTTCCTAAAATAATGCTAGATTCCATACTTAAATCAGTTTGATTCTTCCATTATGACACCCTGAAATTATTGTAAAATATTCTAGTCAGGGTACAGTAGTGCAAATAATGCATAAAACAAAAGTGCTAGTCGCTTGTTTATAGTCCTAGTTTTACCAGATGAGTCTACAATCTATGATTGCAAAATAGTTTTCTCTGAGAAATCTTTCAAAAGAGAATAAGGTCAGTCCCTGACTCTATGTTCAATGCTGTTTTATTCCAAAGATAACAAAATGTTTGATGAAATATCAGTGCAATAGTTCATGAGACAGCACTTTTACGCATCCATTGCTTTAGTGCAGTGAAGGATCTGATCAATTACCCTGCTTTCCATTGCTTGGTTTTCCTTGTTGATGTCCCTTAGGTAGGATTTTTATTCCATCTACAAGAGCCACTGCTAACTTCTCCATGTCTCTTGCTGTCCTTTCTTTGTCTTCCTTCAACTTTCGCTCTGTAGTGGGGAACACCCCCTCCCTGATAACTCGTTCACAAACAAGCTTTTCATCTTCCCCCTCTTTTTCCCAATGAACCAAAAACTGGAAGTCTTGAGAAACCCCTTCTGGGAAAGTGACTGGATGATTCACAGGGGATTCACCAAGTAGACACACTTCAATGTTGCTTGAGCGGTGAAGATAAATAGACTCAAACTGGGAGTGTTGCAGAATATTTATGGTCAGATCTGTTGTGCTGTCAGCCATTATGGTTGGGATCTGCAAAAAGAAAACAAAATTATAGGAATGTAGACTAGTACAATGTCTGTCAAAGAAAGTCAGCAAGGCAACAAACTAGAGCTTTCCTCCTCCCTCCCTCGAAAAAAGGAGCACTTAAAGATAAAACAAACTGTGGTCAATCCTGACCACATTCTTCCATTTGCTTGTCCCCTGAGGTGAGAAACCTTGGAAACGAGGTAAGGTCAGTTAGTGGAAATTGAACTTCTTACAAGTGTCTCAAGGAGAGGAGGGGAGGAAAGGAGGGCAAATCTCCCGATTTTAAGTGACAGGGATGATTGAATGGGGCCAAAAAGTTTTGTGTCCTTAAATCGCAGAACAACACGGGCACCATCATGAATCAATCCACCAAAAAAATACTTGCCAAATTTTCCTCCCCAAAAAAATCCCGGAACCGAAAATTTCAAACCCCAAAAAATCCTTTAATCATCCCTGTCACTTGTAATCCAGACTACCCTCCTGACCTGGGGTAAATCTTCCCTTCCCTCCACTTTTTGCATCAATTTCTCCCTCTTCCCACTGTTTTTTGCCATTTCTCCCTTCTCCCTATAGCTTTCCTTTCCCCTGGGGATTGTACTGGTCATGGAAATCCTGGAAAGACACATAGAATAAATTTTAAGAATTTTATTTTCCAGGCCTGGAAAGTCATGGAATTCAACAGTTGGTCTGTGAAAGTCATGGAAAATTAAAGTTTTGTGTAGTAGATTAGTTACTGCAGGTTGCAAAGCAAGGACATTGTAAGATAGAGAGGAGTGATTGAATAGCATGAATGTTACACATTTTGGTGGACATTAGAATTTGTGTCTGTTGAACTGTCAGGTCAAAAAATACCCTAACACAAGGGAAGTTGCGATAATTTTTGAAGGGGTCAGCCAAACCTAAGGTCAAGGAAAAAGTCATAGATTTTGAAGAGCTCAAAGGAGTACGAACCCTGCCCCGTTCAATCCCCACCTCACCCCACCCCTGACCCTCCCCAAACATTTCTGCAGTACTTTCTAGTTTGTAAGAAACTGAAATACAGTATTAAACTTTTGAACTCGATTTGGCCCTTTTTTTTTCCTACCTGACCACCGTCAAGTAAATTCAGCACAACCTTCTTGCATGACACAAACTCCAGTAAACCTGAAATTAGCGTGGATTTTACGTCCAGAACCAAATTAGTACAGTCTTCAAGAAGAACTTTGGCAGCCTTTTCACTCAAGCTGGCGTGGCAATCTGCGCAGGCCTTGACAAACAATAGAGCTCCTTTTGAGTCTGCCTTCAGCTCAATGTCTTCTTCTTTTCTATTGCTGATAGTGTGAACTGGTCTTTGGGCTAACTTAAACACTCCTTCTAGGTTTGAAAAAGCCATGATTTCAGAAGTGGAACGTGCACCAGTGTACGTGTGTGCCCTCTAGCTTCTCTCACACGAAATCTTCTTGCAGTTGACAAATTACAAGTCTTTCTTTCGAAAAGCAGAAATATACAGCACACAAAAGCCCTGAGGTTGCAGAATTATTTCTGTAAATTACAGCTGATTAAAAGGTGCATATTTTGGGAAATTCGTCATTCAGTTTTTGTTTTGCCTTTGGGAAGGCTCGGTAGCTAAGCAAGTGGCTCCACAGGAAAGCAACATGGAGGTGGAGGAAAACTCTTTGGAATCTCCGTATGTACTTTAATTTCCTGTTTAATATGTTTTGACAGTTAAAATATTTCTGTCTGTATAGTGTAAATTGTGTGTACTGTTTGAATGAGTGATAAGAAGTGAAACTTTTCGGTGGAGATGAAATTATGTGCCTTGAACAGTGCTTTCATTTTGCTCAGACCACCTAAGTCTGCATGTTAAACTCTGCGTGCATTCTCCATCTTTCCCGCGCAAAATATTTGAGGCCATAAAATGTTTTAAAACTTGAAGAAAGTCTACA